GCACATGGCCAGCACGGACCAGCAATGCGCCTGCCGAAGCTGCGAACATCCAACGGGGAGACAACGCCGTCAGCATCCTCACAGCATCTTTACATTCTCATTCGAACGAATATCAGTTCTCCCCCAGTACAGGGGCCGTGTGGGGAGTCACTGAACACATGTGAAGGTGGATGGCGACAACAGCGGATAACTGGTGACAACAGACTCTGACGACTGATATGAATGGTCCATTCTCAGGTGCTACAGCACATACAGCGGAATAGTGGGGTACTATGACAAGGATTAAACAAGTATAGAAATAGTTAGCCTTCCTATGATAATCAAGTTCGACTACTGGCAGGTGACAGTGGGGCTAGAATTCTTTTCAAGGGAAGGAGGCTTGCTCTCCCCCTAACGGATCTACATGCACAGCCTCATCGGACAAGCAGTACAGTGAACAACAAAAGCCAATCATGCAACTCGTTTCGTATGTACGATGGGACGCCGGACCCCGTTTCCGGCAGGTGCCGCTCCCCACCAATAGATGGAGCCACCCCGAGAACGCCAGTGGTGCCTGCTCTTATCAGCACACCTGGGATTACCTCGGGTTGTTCAAAAAATAAATAAATAATAAAAATAAATAAATAAAAAATCATTTACTGGTGTGCATGCAGAGTGGAATTTTTACAATAATAAACAATCGAACTAAATTACTGGTATAAAAAAAAGAAAGAAAGAAAGAAAGAAAGAAAGAAAGAAAGAAAAGAAAAGAAAAGAAAAAGAAAAGAAAAGAACAGAGAAGAAAGACAACATTGAAGATGGGAAATTGAGGGTAAAAAGCTGCTGCACACTCAAGGTTTTCCTCCAGGATGATTGCGTCGCAGGGAGGCGGGAGGAGGGGGGGGGGAGGAAAGAAAAAGAAAAACAGAAGACACTACACCCTTGCAGGGGTGGGGTGGATATCATGACTGGCATGGTGATTGCGTCGCAGGGAGGCGGGAGGAGGGGGGGGGGAGGAAAGAAAAAGAAAAACAGAAGACACTACACCCTTGCAGGGGTGGGGTGGATATCATGACTGGCATGGTTCCACATCTGAACACTGTGTCTTGGCTTTTGAGGCCGAGGTCGCCGGCTCGAATTCGTGCTTGCACGGAGGAGGGCCATGGGCCCAGACGTACGCATCCAGAACTACTCGTATGACACCCCTGCATTTCAACAAGACCAACTAAACGACTCCTGATGGTAGGTTATCTACACCCTTACGAGTCCCTCGGTGCACCCCAACTCCAAGATGGATGGCCTGATACCCACTGTATACCGCACCTGGGCATACGACAACAAATGGGCCATCATTGGATCGGATGGCAGAATCCAACTGTCATCATGGCTATTTAATCAGAATTAGCTAATATTGTTTGGTCCGAAAGGTCATAGATGAAGTCTGTCTCGAGGCAAGGCTTTCCCCCAAGCCTCAGTTATTCAGTTATTTGAACATTCTCCGGTATAGGGCATCAGTAGCCCGTCCTTTTTTCGGGAGAAACATGGCTATTCAACGATTGGTTTTGTGGCCTGAATTAAGTTAGACCGATTTTAGGTCCGTTTGGTGTACCTCTGGAATGGGGATCCCTGGCTTTCCCATCTTAGAAAGTTCTTAGGGAAGGGGTTTTGGGTGGACAAGTATGTAAAGAGATCATCGCCCCCGGTGGTGGACAACTGGGCTCTTGGATTGTGAAGTAATGGAGCTTGGTTGTATCTGATAGCTCACTTTTTTACCTTGTGCTTCAAGCTTACTTTTGGAAAGCATAGTAGGAGGGGACGCTGGACCCGGTTTCCAGCAGGTCTTCTTTCTGAGATATTCTGAACAGTTGGGCTCATAAGCGAAACTGGCTGAGGCTGCCAGGATAACTCCAGGTTGAATTGTGAGGTCCCCCGGCCTCGTGTTTCAATGGTTTTGCTATATAAATTTTCAAGCTTTCCAAAAAAAAAAAAAAAAAAAAAAACGAAACTTGAGGTGCGAGCACGGCCACAACAGAGAATAAACGTACCAGAAAGAGCAGTCAGATATGTTCCAGGAAACCATTGGTTATCCCTTTGGAGAAGTGGAGGGGTGTGTGTTACACGAGGAGTAGTTCACTTTTCGATTTCTGATCGGCACGTCGGCATTGAACCCACCAGTACACGGCCCCTTGCAACTTCAGAACAACAAGAGGCTCTCTCCAAAAAACATATGAGGCTCGGGTCACTTTTCGAGTTCTGATCGGCACGCCGGCATAGAGGCTCTGTCCAAAAAAATTGGACGCTCAGGTCACTTTTCGAGTTCGGATCGGCACGCTGGCATTAAACCCACCAGTACATGGCCGCAGGCAACTTGAGAACAACAAGAGGCTCTCTCCGAAAAATTTGGAGGCTCAGGGCAACTGGACCAAAATGGCTGGCGGCGCCAGTCCAAATGAAAACAAAAACGGCACGCTGGCATTTCGGCAAAGCTTGGCGCGCAGGGGGAATCTGCCTCATACAAAGGAGGCTCAGGTGTACTCGGTTCAAATGTACTTCACTGTTTCACCAACTGTAACAAATAACCCACCACCACACCATTGTGTTCCCCCGAACATAACGCAAAAATGCCTTGTATTCGAGTTTTCAAAAATTTGAAAAATCCGAATGGAACGCATTCGCATTCTATTCAGAAACAAGGCACTAGCGGTTATTTGAAAAGAACGCATCTGTGTTGCATTCACAACCCATACATTGTATTCGCTTACAGGCTTACAGCGCATATGCTCTATGTTCAGGGGAAGACAGTAGCACACATGATGGCCCATTGGAGTTATAACCGGCTTTAAGACCACCACTGGCCGGGCACCTATTGTTTTTTCTGACCTTAAAGCAGCGAATCTAAAATGCTGGACCTACCCCGCTACCCGGATCACACCTCGGTGAAAATAGGCATTCTTTTCCCACAAGAAATGTTTTCGCTGTCCCAGATTTTTTTTTCTTTTCTTTTTAACAAGTGCTCCAGGATTTCTACTTCCTTGTTTTGCATTTTTTTTCCTGATACCGCCACTACCTTTCCCACTGTTGGGAGAAGTGGGAATATAGCCTGCACCGCATTCTTCAGGGGTCGGGCCGAAAGCAGGCGGCCGCTGATTAATTTCTTCAGCGGCCTACCATTCGTTTCCCGCCTCCGAGACTTGCGGGTACCGGCCCGCGGCCGACAGCTCAGAAAGGTAGTGGTCCTTGAACAGATCAGCACCCAATCTATGATCCTGAACTTTTCGCCAGATTTTTTTCATAGAGTAGTATGCGCATGAAAATCACCAAAGTTGGTACTCTCAAATTTCTGGATTCTGCCACCAGCCCACTCCTCTCCGCCCCTCTGAAGCTGGTGGGCTGACCCTTCGCGTGGCCAGCATGCATATTCCACAAGCCTGGGTGGATGTCAGGGCCAGTGGCGGTTTAAAGCACCACTACACCAGACATAGGCCCGCAGGTGTCAGCGTGGAACCCATACCACTTCGGAGGCCGCAGATAATTTTTTTCAACGGCCCACCATGCTGCACGGCCCCTCCGAGTTTTGCTTGTGGCAACAACAACTTCCTGCAAGGCTGGGGCCGTGCACTGGCGGTTTAAGGCCAGCACTATCAGGCCATCCTAGCATGAAAGCAAGCGAGACAGGCGCACGCTTGTGCACAATCATCAAGCATTCCGGTGGCGACCCGACGCTCCGATCCTATCCTGCCCTCTTGCAACGCCCAGCCAGATAGCACGTGCTCCCAGCCTTTTAAAAATGCGACGTGGTCAATCGCCAACGATTCGAACAATTCCCAAAGAGAAAGTCGTTCTTTGGTAGTGACCCAAGGTTGAACGTTTGCTTCAATGCAATTTATGGCAAATCCTCAAGCAATCTGGAAACACCCTTGCTCGGCAAATGGCCATGCCAGAAAAAGCCAGCATCTTTGCTGGAATAGACGTTTAGAACGTACCATTACGTTCACTGCACCTGGACCGAAAGAAGCTGGCCAAAGAAGGCTATATGGACCGAACGCTCTATTCAAAGGGGAGGACGGTAGCGGAGTTGTGAGCACAAGAGACAACCCAACTTCTGTGCTCTGTCATTGCACCTCGCCAACATATCCCCATCCTAACGTCTTCGCAGACTTCACCCAAATAGAACACCATGTCATCATTGCTGTATCCAGACTGAAAGTTACCCCATATATATATAGCTATGATGACTGAACATTATATTCAGGTGACGACGGTAGTTTTTCCATCATTCTCTTCCACTGTGTTCTAGCATGGTCCCTGTTTCTATATTTTCTCCTCTCCAATGACACTAGAAATTTATAGTCACTATCAGTCAGTCAGTTACCTTTTGTCATCAGTTTCACCGCACCTGCTGACGAGCTGTATTGAAAATGCAGCACCCATCTCTTGACTGCCACCTCTCTCCTCCACGCTCCCGCTCTTCCTTCCAAATCACACTCTCAAATTGTCGGTTCAGGCCTTCCTTTCCGGGTCCCATTTGGGTCCTGTCAAAAGCATAACACTGGGTAATGCTCCCAGATCCGGCCTTAATGTGGGGTGGCCGGCACCTTCTATTTCATATAAGTAATGAACAGCTTTTCTTTTAAAAAAAAAAAAAAAAAAAAAATCCTTAAATTTACTTTTTCGCTGTTCTTTCAGAATTGACAATCTTATAACCACCAGACCTGTGTCAAAAAGAGTCCATGTCATCCATTAACATGATTGACTTGTCACAACATGTTAAAATTATATGAAGAAGAGGATGGAACAGAAAACGGGAACTCAAAAAGAGCATTTGAAAAACACCTTCAAATTTGAACGATTTAACGAGACGCACAGGAGAACAAGCTATAGTTGGTGTCAACTTGGTGAGCAATAAAATGGAACAAGATTCTGAGTGTTTATGACTAAACTTAAAAGTCTAATGAAATACAAGAAGTTAAGAACTTTCTTTTTGTGAAACGCAGCGCTTGAGAAAGCTGTTTGCTTTCAATCAAGTGAAATCACAAGATTCACAATGCTAGCTGCCTTCAAGGACTCTAGTCTTCTACGCATGGGACAGTGGACTCGATTTCCAGCAGGTGTTCCTCCCCCCCACCAATAAGACCGGAGCCACGTGCATCAGGGTAGTACCTGGTCACCTGGTGGTACTGATATCTTCCCAGGGAGACCACCCCTGACAAGGTGTTGCTTGCAAAAAAAAAGAGAAAAACAGAGGTTTTCTACTGTGAAGAGAGGAGAAGGAGGAACTCAGCTAAGAGAAGTTATAAAACTCGTACAACCCTGCAAGTTTAGAGAAGCACAGCAGCTCCAGTTAACAGGCCGCTGGACCAGCGTCAAGTACTGCAGCCCAGAGATCAAATTTATCTCAAATTACTCACAGCTTGTTCATCGTCATCACCCGACGTAACTCATTTTTCGATCGGACTGAACAAAATACTCGCTCTCATCCACACCACAGGTTGGATGGACGAGGAGGCTTAGCTTTTGTATACAGCGGTACTTGATACTATTTAGTATTTACGCTTCAGTACAGCTCTGAACTGAAGCTAGCGCAGGAGAGAAAAGCCGCCAGCTATGTCCCTCCCACTTTCTCCCCCCCCCCCCCCCCCCCCCCCCCCCCCCCCCACTTTCTCTCTCTACTTTCCAGGGTGCTGCTGACCATGGCAGTAAACGTAACAGCCAAGCAAACCTTTTGGCAGGGAGGATCACGTCGCTAACTGATGATTGCCAGACCAGATTATAATCTGTACATGACCACAGTTGAAATCAGGTGTTCCTCATCCCTCTCTCTTCTCGCACACCCTCCCATCCCATCTTCACCCAAACAGAACGCCCCGTCATTGTAGCTGTATTTGGTCCAACTTTCAGTCCAGATATGGCAAAATAATGACCGGGTGTTCTACTCGGGTCAAGACGGTAGCTCTGCAGTTGACATAGCTAAGAGCGATGCTGGAGTCCTTTTCATCACTCTCATTCTTTTGTTTGCATGCGTCCTCCGCATGAAAGTAAGGCCTCAGATGATGTGCTATAGTTTTCTCTACATGAAGCGTTAAGTATAATAATATATAGCTAAAGTATGTATGCAGCCAGTATTTGTAGCGGGATGCTTGACACACCAACAAAAGCAGTGGATTGCAAAACTGCTGTGCCCGCAAAGAGTCGATCAGCTGCCTTCTTTCTTAATATAGCCGAGAGCTTCCGATGCTTCACAATTTCATAGCTAAAGGCTACAGCTTTAGCGTACTAATTGGACTGCGCAGTTCAAGAAGACTCCTCGACTTGATGATGCCTTGATTGCGAATGAATACCCTCCACATGTCTTGCCACACAATAGAGAAAGACTAAAGAAAGACTAAAGGCGTTTTTGCCGCACCATGGAGAAAGTTGCCGCACCATAGATAAAGTTGCCGCACCATAGAGAAAGACTAAAGAAAGACTAAAGGTGTTACTACAAGTCAATAGCTAAGCAACTGCCGCCAACACATTGCTGCACGGAAGACACTTGCCCTCCATCCAGCCCAATTCATCTAAATGATTTGCCGCAAACTGCTAAGTCCATACCCCTGTGGGTCTTTCCGACAGACTGTTTTACCGCAGTCTGCCTAATCATGTGCTCACCTG